ATTAATAAACAGTAGTTTCCGTATAAAAAGTAGTTTTTAAGAGTTTTTGTCAAATGCTTTATAATATTGTATAAATTATTATTTTTAATTTAATTTAAGTTTAATAATAAAATAATTTATTTTTTGGTTTAATAATATATCATTTTATAAAGATAATAATTAAATATTTTGTTAGAACTCAATGATTATCCTAATTATATTTTAGATTTTTTATATTTAAAATAAGATGTTTATCCTGTATTTGATTGTGTTTATCTGCAGTTAGTTACACGAATTCAGTTATGTGATGAAATCGGATAGGGATGAACGAGTTTAAGAGTTTTAAGAGTTTAAGAGTTTTTAAGAGTTTTAGCCAAATGCATTATAATATAGTATAGATAATATAATATAAATTTACAATTTATTATTAAACACATAGTCACATAATAACCAAATGACATACATATTCAAACATAGCATACGCTTCAAATTATAAAATGTATTATATTTTATAATACATGAAAGTAAAATAGGGAAAATGGGGTTTGTGTAAATCAAGTGTTGATGATGAGTAACCTCTAATCGCCCCAAGCGACCGCATTCCCGGATCCTCCGCTTTTGCTGATAAAAACGAATTCAACCCCGTAATCTCAAATCTCATCCCATCCAGGTTTTGGTACTACCGCTGATTGGGTTTCTTGATTCATTGGAGTTAAGAAGAAGAAGAAGAATCGAAGATGGAGGGTGGCGGGATTCTATCTGCGACCGACCAGCAAACTATGGTCTCTTCTTTTCTTGAAATTGCGGTTGGCCAGACTGCCGATACTGCCAGGCAGTTCTTACAGGTCTCAATTCCTTCACTCTTTTCTTATGGATTGTTTGATTGATTAGCACACGTACATATGTATATTTTGTACTTTTGGTATTTAATTTCACTATTGTTGATCAATCTGTGGTTTTTTAAGCGTGAAATTTTGATCTGATGAATGGGGTTTTGAACTGGTATCGGAAAGTATAGCTTTTTGTTAAATGCACAAGAAAAGTAATAACAATAGTTCTTCATGGATGTAGAAAATACAAGTGTGTTCATAGGGGTCTAATTTTTCTACCAGCTAAGTTCTAGGGATTTTTTTAATGAAGAACCTTTTTGATGGTGTTGGGATTATGGTTACCTGTGATTTATTCCACTTATATTCCAGTTGTTTCGAGTTTTATGGTATTAGGGATTTAGAGTGGAACTATGAAAGACGATGGCTTTGTATTTCTTGCATTTAATCCCTTTCTTAGCCACCTTATTTGTTCCATTTTAATGGAAAAATGCTACAGACAGAAGAAAGGTTGTAAACAAATTATAGATCTTGCATTGGGGGAACACTAAATTTGACTCTAAAGAAATCAAAATTTACCTTGTTTAAAGAACATATTTAGTTAATATTCTGGCATTCAAATTATTTTGACATAAAACAGAGTTGGATTGCTAAATGACTGGGCCCTAATCTTCACAACAAATTATTATGAGTAGTTCAATTTCTGCCTACAATAAGAGTTCTATACTCTTCTGATTGCTTTTGCTCATCAACTCTTATCTCAATCTGCAATGTTGTAGAACTGGTATCTTTGCTCGTTTTAGACCAACTTGCCTTTGAGTTCTAGTAGTGTATACTGCCTGCTCATTTTAGAATGTCTTCCAATGTGAAGAGGGTATTATTCCCAAACACTAGGTCCACATGAGGGACTCTAGACTGTTTCGGGGTTTAAGCTGGTTATAATTACCTGCCCATATGATGCCTGTTTAGCTTTTCGACAAGACTTCATATTATTTTTTGTTATATTGACTGATCCTGATTTCATGTATATTCAGGCCACAAGCTGGAAGCTTGAAGAAGCTATCCAACTTTTTTATGTAGGACATGATGGTGGAGCAGCTGCACTATCTCCGTATGTTCCACCACTGGAAAATGATGGGGTTTTGCCGAACCCAAGCACAGGGTAGGTTGATGTCAAATTGAAACGGCAAGTTCTTTTTTTTAGAGGAACAGCAGTTTTCATTTATCTGAATCTCAATGTTTCCTCAGGGGCTCAGAGAATCACATGGGATCCGAAAATATCAGAGAAAATGATAGCAGTGAAGTTCGTGCACCTCTACCAGTGAAAAGGGATGTTCTTTATGACACCCCAATGCTCTATGGGTATGCTACTTCACTCATATTCACTTTTAGTTTATAGCTTTGTTTTTTCTATTGTCTTTATGTGGTCCACCACATTTGAAATATTTTTCATGTAAGTGCTCGTGGATTCCCAGCTAACATGTTGTCTTCAAGTCTATATGTTAGTCCTGCTTGTTTGTTGTAATAGAGAATTTCATTTTGTAAGGTGTTTCAGAACATTTGGCAGTGGTGGATTTGATAGTTTCATGGAACTTTAATAAGCTGAAAATTAGTAAGCCATGGCTTTAATACATGGTACGGGAAATCAATAATATATCTTTTATAGGGTGGTTTATTGAGAGTTTCTTCACTATGGTGCCTTTTGGGAGTATATTTGAGGCTATTGGTATGCACTAGGTTTAGTTCTTGGTCTTTTTGTGTACTTTTCTTTATGTTTTCTACCCTACCGTTTTCTAACGACTACCATGCCAAACTTAGTGGTTGATTATTTCACTTCTATTTTTTGGAAATTATAGTTTGTTAGTTCTGTCTGAAACATGTGTAGCTGAATGCGGGAGGTGGCCGAGTGACCACACATGATTGGATAAGATTGTATATGTAGACATTCAAGAAACAATTAGGGTGAAACCGGTCCAGAAGAAGCTAAGGTAACACCATTTGGTGACAAGATGAGACTTGTAGTTGGAGTAGGATGTTAGAAGAGGCAGGCATACCAAATTAATGTGGGGAGAAATAGTAAAGATAGATTTGAGTTACTGGAGCAGGTGTTGCTATTTTTATAGCTTAATTATGCAGGGGTCTATCATGTATTCCGTCATCAATTCCTAATGTTTCAAGGTTTATTGCTAACAATCTATGAGGCTAAGTTTGTTCAAGCCATATATTGACTTACTAATCCAATTATTATGTGTGCTTTTTTTCATTAAAAGCTCTTTATTACAAACGCGAATGGTGTGCCTTTCTTAAAGTTGTTTCTTTGATCTACTATATGTTAACTCTTAAGAGCAACAAGATTGGGATATACTCCACATGAAGCTCGTACAGTGGTTCCCTTCCGCAACTTTGACGAGGAACTAAAACGTCCTGGAGTATGGGAAACAGACCAAGGTGCTACATCGACAACTGATGCTTCTCGAGATAATCTCGCTACCTTATATCGCCCTCCTTTTGGTTTGATGTACCATGGTCCATTTGAGAAGGTAAATTGTGACTTATCTTAAGTACAGTAACTTGTGGTATATGCTCCACAAAGTAATATGTATTTTTGTATAATAACTATTCTCTCTTTGTCATGAATTTATGATCCGGAGGTTAATTTTATGGGTGCTCTTATGTTTGTATGAGATTGAAAAGCTAGATGCCTAAAATTTTCGTTGTCGTGGCTCATTTATGTCTGATTTGTTTTATTGCCAGGCAAAAGAAGCTGCTAAAACCCAAGACCGATGGCTTCTAGTGAACTTGCAATCTACCAGGGAATTTAGCTCACATATGGTATATCTTCCGCTAACTGCCCACTAAATACACACAAACATACTATGTAACACCGTTTTCTTCTATGTAGTTGGTGTTATAATCATGTGTTGTTCTCAATACATTTTGTGCAGCTTAACCGAGATACCTGGGCCAATGAAGCTGTTGCTCAAACAATCACTTCCAATTTCATCTTCTGGCAGGTTTGTTTTTTCTTAGTCATTTTTTTAATATCATAATAAACTCACTATTCTTCATACTCTAGAACTGTGGAGATTGATTGTATGCTTACACTTTTTGGGTGTAAAATCAGCACTTTTTGTGTTACGATCATATTAATGGCAAGCATCTATAGTCATTGATTTGTCTTCTGGAATTAAAGTGAAAGTTGGACCCATGTTTATGATGTTGCATCGAGGGAATAAAGAAATCTTGGAGATTAGGTGTTGACTACAAAATCCTAGACGAACTCAGCTTACGTGATAAATACTCAATCCTAAACATTGATGAACTTCATCGGCTACCGTGTTTTCTGAAATAGGAGTAACATATGGTTACCATCAGATACCATTTCACCCACCAGATGCAGACAAGACAGCCTTCCGTGCTCACTAGAGTCATTCTCTGTTGGTTATCATGATGTCATCCATACCCCCCCCCCCCCCCCCCGGGGGGGTGAAAATTTATCCATCACAATCATTTTTTATGAGATAATGATGTGGTATTCCTCTCCCTAAACCCTTTTTGCTCTCGCTTGCATGCCATACCTTTTGCTCATTAATGCTAAACCTCCAAGCATTGGCCTCTGTTGCATTCAATGTCAATGACCCCATAACCTCAGGCTTCATTTGATCTAGTTGCAGACCATTTTTGTGAAAACCAATCTCAGAAATCGATGAACTTGTAGATGGATTTCATGGTGCTACTATCTTTCACAAATAGACATATGATCTGGGTCACATACAAGTTCACCTGTCAGACGTACATAAACAAGGCTTTCACGCACATGAGTTAATTGTCATGACGACCATCTACTTTTAGGTCAGTCATGAATATCTTTTTCTGACCCTTTCACTGTTCACTGTGACGTATCATAAGAGGAAGCGGGTACCCTTGTTCTATAATTTGGTCGTGTCATTGCTTATAACAGTAAGGTTTTTTCTTTTTCTAACAGCTTTAAGTCGATTTATGACCAGAAACTTTGGCACAGCTATTAGCTTTGCAAAAATGACATAATGTGTTTGGGCACCATTTTTTCCAGCTAAACTGATATTTCCATCCCACCAAGTACTCTTCATCCAACTAGTCACCACTAATGAGAAGAAATGTCTCCTTATCAAACCTTTACCATTTGATTTCACCGTCATTTATGAGACCTGAACATGCTGATGTGTGGTGTTCATGAATAACCAGCATGCTCTTGCTGCTACAAGATCCTTAGCTTCCCTTCAGCTCTATCCCATGGCCCAACCTGATTTGTACTTGGTAAACAACAATCTTTTTTAGTAGATTGCTTGGTCATCTTAACATTTTCCAATTTACACCATGATATTATATCCCGCTCCATGATATATTGGCAAGAGGCCAAGGAGGTTATTTAAAACTAAACCAAACCAAACCGACGAAACAAACAAACCCAGTATATCCCACTAGAAAGCAAGGATTTGGGAGAGGTAGGATGTACGCAGACTTGTCCTCTACCCCAAAGCATAGAGCATCTGTTTTTTTGAAGACGCCCGGCTTGTGTAATAGTCAGCGAAAAGGAAATGGAAAGAAGGAAATCACAATACTTGTAATTAGTAAGCACCAAAAAAGGAAGAAAAAGGCAACAGGTGCAATGAAACATATACAAAGTAAGGAAACCCCAACATCCCTCCATCTATAATAGGAGTCAGTCTCCTTATCAGTCAGCTCCCTAACCCTCCCCTCCCCCTGTCCTACTCTCACTCTCGAACTCCCTTCTTTGTATCACTCTCAAACTCCCTTCTTCCTATCCACACTAGCTACAGATCCCTACCTTAAATGTACTACCCTAGTCGTGCTTCTCCAATAACTCCTATGAGGTTTTCTGAATACTCTAATGCTGTTGCAACACCTTTTTTCTATTCTTATCTCGTGATTTTATGCAACATAATGCGATGCAATGCTGCAACTTCGTTGCTACATGTATGAAAGCATAAGGCGATTCTAAGCAAAGAGAACTGTAATTTACTGATGGGATTTTGTCTTCTTTAGCATTCGGCCATTCTGACAGTGTTTGTCTGCTAACATCCAATATGAAAAGAAGCTTCTTGGCTTTCTGAGCTTACACAATGTTCTTCTAGTGGTATCTGTTGTATATATGGATTAGCTGCCCACACTTCTAACATTGGAATAATACAATGAGAGGGAAGAAATTTCGCTTAGAAATTGGAATCTTTTGTAAGTTTATAGATAACACATTACAGGATAAATTAGGGACATGGAGGACTGATTCTAGAGTTATAGAATCTGAAACTTTTACAGATCCTTTTCTTGCAAATGTGGACAACGATCCATCTGCAACTCTTACTTTGATGTTGCCAGCACATGGAAGTATGTTGAAAAAAATACATTGGTTACGGGTCATATATCAAGTCGGCAAGCGAGGGCTTCATTGAGTTCACTAACCACATGATGACCATTGATTTTTCTGATTTCCACTTCTGCATAAAAAGGATCGGTGGAAGATGGTTTATTTATTTCAGCAGTGAGATAACTGAATTTCACAATTTTCTCATTAATAACCAAATAGTTGGTTGAACTTTTATCAGCTCTTTTGATGGTCTAGAACCCCTATTCTTTAACACGTTTATGAAGGAAAACTATAGAGACGGTCAATATTCTTGCTTTCTATAGACCTGTTACCATGCTTTTAACATGCTAGTCTATTTCTCTTTGTGGTGCATGTAGGTATGTGATGATACAGAAGATGGCAGCAAGATAAAAACGTACTACAAATTGGATTCTGTTCCTGTAACTCTTGTCATTGATCCTGTCACGGGTCAAAAAATGCGCTTATGGCGTGGAATGGTTCAACCAGAAAACTTGTTGGAGGTAAGTTGTTAGTGTAATATAATTGTTGAAATATATGGTAGTCAAATATTTCAGAATTAGCATTTCAAGCTGAATCCGTGAAGTTTCAATTAAGGCGTAAAATTATCTTTGGATAATAGGATCTGTTGCAATTCATGGATGGTAGCCCGAAGGATCATCATTTCAGCTTGTCCCATAAACGTCCAAGAGAAAATTCTCAGGCTCCACCTCCCAAAATTCAAGCTATGCCAGGTTCTTTCATGTGTCCTGTGCTATTCATTTAAAAAAATTATTCTTCGTGTCATCAGATGGTTAGAGCTGTGATAGAAGTCTAGAATGGGATTATGATAAATTCGTTTAGTTTTTTAAAAATTTTGCACCTAAATTGGAAGCATGACTGACTTATGGGCTGCAGTAGTTGCAGATGGAACAAGTGAAGAAGATGAAGACATGCGGCTGGCACGAGCATTATCTATGGAGACAACAAAAGATCGCGTTGGAGAATCCTCAAAAGATTCAGATGCTGTCATTAATACCAAAAAAGAGATCCCAAAATCCGAGAAACATATTTATCCACCGTTGCCTGAAGAACCCAAGGGTGATAGGAATTTGCTTTGCAGGGTTGGAGTCCGTCTTCCAGATGGACGCAGGCTTCAGAGGAACTTTTTACGCTCCGATCCAATACAAGTAACATTCTTTACATTCTCTTCTATTATTATATCCAGAAAAAAAATGAAAAGTAGTCCAGTTAACAAGTTTTATTGTTTGTGTGCTTCAGTTGCTGTGGTCGTTCTGCTATGGGAACCTCGAGAATGGGGATGAAAAGCGGTTCCGTTTGAGTCATGCAATCCCTGGTGCGGTGACGGTTCTCGACTATGACAGCAAGTCGACGTTTGAGGAGTCGGGTCTCTCCAGTTCCATGATTTCAGTTACTTGGGAATGAAATCAAATGAAATGAAAGTGGTATGATCTTGAATTGAATAGTTTTTGGTGGTTTTGACTTCTAGATTCTCTACCTTTTTAGATGGATTATGCCCTATTCACTTGTTTATCTATATATTCTCTGGTGTTTATGTATGTATATATATGGTCATATACCATCCATACTTGATTAGTAAGGAATTGATGCTTTTCTTGTTTCTATGTTCTGGATCATTAGCTGAATGAACTTATTACAGTGTTTTTTAAAACCAGGACCTTCTGACAAACATTAATTAATATCATGACTTTCTGACAGGTTTTTAGGTACTTTTGTGTATGTAAATAATATTCTTAAATTTATCAGAAAGCCGTGGATTTAAAAAAAAACTATTTATTATTAATTATAATAATAATGATAATAAATTACTACTTTTGATCAATAATTCCATAGAAGATATGAAAAATGAATTTAAGTTGGGATTTTGGTGAATCAAATGATGTGTAAGAGGACTTTTGGTTGACATTTGAACCCACCAAATAACTCAGTGGAATTTGAGTATCATACAACATCAATTGTCGACAATTCTACAACATATATAATTCCAATTTTATTAGTGCTTCTTAAAAGAAATATTATTTATCAATTAATTAATATAAACACATCTTGTTTAATATTATTATACCATCTATTTGACTTGTGTTTTCACATGTGTTACACTAACATTAATTTTATTTTATATAATAAATGTTTTATAATATCAACTGATAATATATTTAATTCAAATCCTTATTTTTAAGGTCTCAAACCCGATTCATTTAACATGTTAGTAATGTTTGTTATGAAGCGTTTACCAGGATAAAAGTTTTTTTTATTAACAATTAGTTTTGATGGCTGGAAATGTTACCTGATAACGTCTATAACAAAGATATAGAAAGAACCATCAAAACTCGGAACGCAAAAATAGTTGGATCCAATGGTGGTTTAAAAGGTCCCCTTGCCATTAAACCATCACCATCCTTGAGTAGAGAAAACGAACCCGCAAAGAACTTGTTTAATGAACCTATCAAGAAATTTGATTATAGATGTAACGTTTCGTTAGATTCGAAGTTTACTAGAAAAGAAACCCGTCTAAGTGACTGTAGAAAGCAAACCAACTAAGATGTTGAATCCCTAAAAGGAAAAAATAGTTGGAATTGAAATCAAAAGCACCGACTATCACTATTTTATTTTACTACAAATAAAAATTGTCATTTTTCTTTATGTTGTTAATGGTGTTTGTGGTGTGGTGTGGTGTAAAGTCGAAACCGTAAACGAAACCGTATGTGTGTCTTGAGCATTTTTCTAAATTACAAACTAAACGACACATGCCTTAAGTTGCAAAATACTTTGCGACGTGTTTGCACGTAAATAACTATGTAACTGATTTAAGTAGAGACCTTAAGTTTGGGATAATATTTATCAACAGTTTAATTATATGGTTAGTATCCGGCTTTTTAAATCAAAAATAGAACAACCATAATGGACTAAATTCTACTTTTAATCTAAATAACTAATGAACTTAGGACAAGATTAAAAAACCTTAATGGAATAAACTACTGTTCATAAAAGTATGCAAGCTTGATTGGCCTAATATTCATAAGTTATTGGAATACTAGTAATTATTAATTAGTTATTTTGAGAAGTGGTAAATATTTTGAAAAGTAAAGTAGTGATCCTAGTTATTTATATGGTCAATAATTGCGTCTTTGACTGGTTAAAAATTGCGGCTATGCTAAAAATAGAGATGATAGTTTCGTAACTTTGACAAATAGTCGGCAAACAGATTCATATATGAACTATATGTTTGTATGTGAACTCGTGTAATTCACATATGAACTATTATAACTGATTCACATATGAACTCGTACGATTCATATATGAACTCGTACGATTCACATATGAACTAATTAACTGATTCACATATGAACTCGTGTGATTCACATATGAACCCGTATGATTNTGAACTAATTAACTGATTCACATATGAACTCGTGTGATTCACATATGAACCCGTATGATTCATATTTGAACTAATTAACTGATATATAATAAACCTGTGGATTCATATATGAATTAGTTATATAGTTCACATGTGAACAAATTAACTGGTTCATAGGTGTATCACATGGGTTTACATATGAATCTATTTGTCGCCTATTTGTAAAATTTACGAAACTAGCTCTCTATCTTTCGCATACTCATGCGAGAAATTATCCGATAATTCACGATCAAAGCCGCAATGTTGACTAAATGAAGGGTTATGATCACTTCTTTACTTATCAAATATTTACAACTTCTCAAATGAACCATTGCCTATATAATACGTGCATGTTTAAACGAGAACGCTAACTATTTAAAAAAAAGAAAAAGAAAAATGTCGTTAATGTACAAAATCATATATTCACACACACACACACACACACACACACATATATATATATATATATATATATATATATA